GGCTTCCAACTACAATGAATGCATCTAACAAAGCGTATCATGCAAACGAAGATTAGAGGTTATACAAATCGAGAAAAGCAATGCAGTAATTTATACATCCATCTCATCTGCGATATAACCCAACGTCGTTTGACAGGTGAATGGCCTCTACATTTTGTCAGTAGGTGCTTACACAGAAGGAAAAACCTCAATCTCCATGTCTTCCTCCGTACAAGTTTGGGGTCTTAAATGATGGTTTTCAATTAATGATTTAAACACGGTATGTCCTTCACACAAAAAAACTCATGTAGCGACAGCAATGATGGCAAATGTTTCTGTCTATAAAAGATACTCTTGAGATATCCTAATAGAAGGGATGTGAGGTTAATTTTTAGAAAACCTTGGACTCAAAGTAGTAACTGCCTTCATGAATGATTTGAATATTCCAGTAAACCAACCTTTCAAGAAAAGGATCACATTCTTCCGGGAAGAATATCAACAGAAATCCACAATCACAAGAATGGATACTCCCAAAGTTAAGCAGAGACGAAGACACAGTTGTTTAATCAGAAAATGCAAAGCCACCTTTTATTTTAGAAAAAAAGGTTCTTAGAAAGTGGACCTGATACCTATTTTCTGAAAAGTAGGATTCTGTCTACACACAGAAGTGACAACTAAGAAAGAGGCCAACAGCCACGCCTGCTGCTGCCCCTGATCTCCCGGGACACTGAAGTGTTTCTGAACTGCCCAGTGGGAAAAATCCTTAGAGGGCATCTCTGAGTCTTCACGTCTCGAGTGAGAGAGACCTGGGGACGGAGCCGAGGAAGCATCCCCCTCCTTCTGCCCAAGGGTGGTCAGGGAGCCTCACAGAGGGAAGAAAGGGGTCGCAGAGACCCCGGAGAATGCTACCCTGGGGCTGCATCTGGATGGGGGACGATAAAGCCATGTTTCCTATGGTTTGAAAGTTTCTAGACCTTGAACACTTGTCCCCGGCATCTACTAGAAACACACAGAGCATCAGTCTGCCAGCAAGTTGCACCTGAACTTGTGGTCATTCCGATGTGGACCCCACGCCCCGCTGGCTCGGGGAACCCCTGCAGTGGGAATGCAGGCCGGGGCGCCCCAGCGGACCCAGGCTGGGTCCTCCCACAGGCTCCATACGGTTGGAATCTTATGAAATTGTCAGTAGTTTCATTTTAAAAACTCATTTTTTAAAGCATTGCATTATTAAAGTTCTCTATAAAAAAGTACAAATAGCCCAGTATATTCAGTTGTTCTATTGGAATTAACAAATTAATAACTTCCTTAAGGTTAAAAAAAAGTCTTTGGAGTTTGTGGGCTTGTAGGGTCGCGGTAAGGCTGTTCGATGGCCGAGTGCGACCTGCACAGTTAGTAACTGACCCCTGATCGCACGGATGAGAGGCACAGGGATCTCAATCGTTCATGCTTTCAACCCTCCCAAGGACCCTGGCATCACAGAATTGACAATGTTGTGGTTGACACCATTTCTAGATGACTGCCTTCATCCACGGATAACTCGGGGAACCTTTCCCAACGTTCTGGACCTTCTCAGAGCAGAAACACACAGCATTCCCAAGATTTGCTGCGTCAGCCCAAATGGGAGGTGGCAGGAATGACCGTCCAGTGTATTTCATAAAATGTAGCCCAGGAGAGGATTTTTAAAAACATTTCTCAACACTCCTTGTCCAATCAGTGTGTAGCCACTAATAACCCCATGCCCTTTCCTTCCTGGTGACTGTCGTGCCTGCTGCTTTCCTTGTAACTCTCACGGTCACATTCCCTCGGGCCCCTGCCTCACTGTGCCTTTCCTGACGACTGTTTGGTGTGCTCGGCAGGGAGCAGGCACTCCTGCCCTTGCTGAGTTATAAAGAAACAGGACATAGTGTGATACGAACACATAAGAAATAGGTGACTTCGTAAGACCCAAGTGAGAAAATGACTGTCAGATGGTGTTGCCTTTCTGAGGCTTTTAAAAACAGGAGACTCTCACTTCCCCCTCATCAGTAATGAGAAAACTAATCCCAGCAAAAACAACTCAGATTTCTCCTGCTCAGTGGAACCAGGTGGGAACTAGTTGTTCTCGTGACTTCTCCATCCATCGTCAGCTGCCATCGTTCTTGCAGGAAGCCACCGAGGAACATGGGCAGGAACTCGCTGGCTCTGCCCAGAGAACTGTGAGCTATTTCGAGGCAGGGAGGGGAAGGGGCTTCTAGCAGCTGGTGTGGATGCTGTTGGCATTTGGGGGGTGTTGTCTGAGGAGGAACAGACTGTGTCCCTGGCAAAACACACTCTGGAGAACCAGCAGACGGTAACTCCCATCTGCACCGACACCCTGCACGGGAAGCTGCTGAGGATGACAGCAGCTCCCTCTCCCGCCTCCCGCCGGCACCCTCTGCACACACTGCCCTGCTCCTCCCTAGGTCCTCCCTGACCGCAGCCTCCCCCAGCCTCTCCCTTCCCAGCACATGGCGGGGGGGCCTCTCAAGGCTCTGCACGCCCCCTGCAGCAAGTCGCCTTGCCCTCCTAAGGGCTTCAGCTATGAGAGACGCTCGACAGCTCTTGCTGGGTTGTGCTAATCTTGGTCTTTCACAATCTTTCAGCCAAGCATCTCAGGCCAAGTTTGCAAAGAGCTATCAACCTCCTGATTTTCTATCAGAATTCCTGGTAAGAAAGCCTCGCACGTCTCCTGAGAACAGGCAGGCAGCGGTTCTGCGTTAACCACGCCAGGCCATGGGGAAGAGAGAAGTCCAAGCGTGGGGAACGACCGTTTGGCTCCGGGGGTTTCCTACCCATCTTTTGCATCGGTTCTCGCCCATCAACCTGTGCGCTGCGCCTGGCGGCACACTCCAGCCACTTCCTTTCAAACCCAGCGTCTGGTGGCTTTAGACGACATGCCAAGAGACGGGCTGCCAGCCCGCTGGCCCACAGCCTTGGAGAGAAGTTCTGCCGCAGAGCGGCCGCCACCTCCCAAGGGAGAATAATGCAAAGCAATCCAACGGGCTTCACGGTGGCAGCCCCGGGGACTGCGGAGGCTGGGACTGTGCTAGACTCTGCTGGGCGGCCTGGACCTCCACAGGCCCCGTGGCACAGGCAGTGCCCAGGGGCAGGACTTGCCCCTTCCAGGAGCCCTCCTTTTGCTGGCCTCCCACGGGCTGCTGCCGTTCCAACAGCAGCGCCGTCCCTGCTGTCACATTTCACACAATGCCCGTGAGAGTTTCTAAGTCGACTCTGCGGGTGACAGTTGTTCACGGTTAGCCACGTTAGTCTTCCAGCGGCAACGGTCTCGGCTTTTCAGATCTTTAAAGCACTAGCCTCCACCTAAACCCAACACTCGGCAACGCCGAACGAACGCAGGCCGCACCCCGGGAACACGCCGTCGCGCCCTCGTTTTCACTGCTTTCCCCTCCCCGGGTTTGTTCTCGAGTCTGCTGCCCCTCAGGCAGAACGCCGGGCCTCACGGTTGGGGCACTGTCTTTGGAAACTGCCACACATTCTGAAGGAACACGAGCCGTCTGGGACAGTGAATGTTTCCGAGAGAAACGGGCATTCGGAACTGCGGGTTGGCTGTTTGAGGGAAAGCCCGAGCCTGAGCCTTGCTTAAAACCAGCAGGTGGCGCGGGCACTGGAACGAACGGTCCCTAAGCCCATGCACCCCTGGGTGGGGGGGGGGGCTCCCGTCTCTCCTGGGTGGGCGGGGATCGGTCCTGCCGGTGCTCCCGCCTGGGGCAGGGGCACTGCCCTTTTGTCTTTTACGCTCTTTTACAAACCAGCCTCTTTCCCATTGGACCAAATGCGATGCACCTGGTCAGGACGTGCCCCCAGAACGTGCACTGACCAATACGACTGCACGGACAGAGCTGGGCCCCTTCTGAGTTTGGATGCCTAAGGTCCCTAAAAGATGGCAGAAGAAATTGCTTTCTTCTGCTTGGGCCGATTCCCTGCTCCCTCGCTTCCTCCACTCAGGGGTGTCCGGGACAGCCCAGGCCTCTCACCGCAAAGACCCTTCAGTGGTCGTGTGTCATGTGAACTTCAGGCAAAGAGCGAGAGGGAAATGCTTTTGGGAGGAAATAGAGCAGCTCTCTGCAAGGACCGATAGCTGCTTGCATTCTTTTTCTTTTTGTTGTAGAAGCCTGGCTCCCCTGAGGACCTTGCATTGAGGGGGTGTCTCGCCAAAGAAGTGCTCTTTGCAAGCCTGGAAAGGCCAGTTCTAGCAATGGCTGGAAGGAAACCTGCAGCCCCTGAAAACCGTGTGCTGGCACTGCACGGTGTCGCTGCTCCGGTGTGGACACGTGGTGGGTCTCACGGAGGCTGCGTGTGCTGGAGCAAACGGCGGGGATTCGGGGGGACGGACAGCCAGCTTCTGGTGCGTCCAGGTACACAGAGCAAGAAGTGAGTCTTCCCAGCCCTCCCGCCCCCAGAGTCGCCAACAGTCACACGGCTGAAAGGAAGAGCAGAACAAACACACACAAACACACAAAGTTCAGCCCGGGTGCTGTGACAGTGCCACACGTGCACAAACATACTCGGCACACTGGAGTCGGATACTTCCCGTCGTCCCCAAGAGGAAGAGTGGCAGAGGAGCCCAAATGGAAGGTGGCATTGAGAAGCTAAAAGAGAGAGTTTCATCTCAAAAATAACCCCACAAACTTTTGTTTGCAGGTAGAATCAAATATATATATCTCTCTATATACACGTATAGTAAAAGCCTAATTGATCATGTAAAGTAGCCATTCATTTCTGAAATTAGATCCACATTAAAAAATTAATATATCTGATACAGTGCCCAAGCGCAGGGAGGGGCGGGGGGGGGCGGAGAAAGCACAGCAATAAAGAATTAAGCTAAAACTTAATTGTAAAAGCAGATTAGAAAGAAGAACCTTCACAAATATAGCACAATTGTGTCTTATAAAATTATTGTAATATTCTCTTTATACTTGATACGATTATATCAATAATATAGATTCACTTGTTATTCAGGTTTATTATAGACATGCAAAATTCATTGCATGATGCATTTGCAAAACATATTAAAATCCTTCTAGCGATAAAACGTCTTTGAGCCGCTGTGCTTCCAGGTTTCCTGACTCTACCGCTCCAGATGTGTCATTCAACAAGAACCGGGAATGGGAACCGAACCTCATTGTTTTTCATCCCTACGTGGACATGAAGGGCTGGAGGAGGGAAGAAAACCAACCAGTAGGGACCGACGCTAGAGCCAACACGCCGATTAAGTTACCGTACATCGTACTTCCATCAACACCGCCGCAGCCTATTAAATAAATAAGTACAAAAGGGGATGGAGTGCACGCTTCAGTCTCTCAGGGGTGGATAACAACACTGGGAGCAAAATATTGGGGGGGGGTTGGCTAATGACACTTGTGAATAGTGGCATGATTACTGATGGCACCCTGGATCGAAGAATAATCTCCCAGAGATTAAAAGGAACGCGCACACACACGATGGTTTGCCCTTGATCTGAAATGATTTCACATGCTCTTTAGCAAAGTCCTTAGACGATTTGGCCTCTTAAAAAGAATGCAAGTATCAAGACAGTTATCAACCAAGTAGGTACCAGAGGACAGATTCACCCAACACTCATCTGAGGTTTTCTTTTTCTTTCTTTTTTTTTTTTTTTTTAACAGGGTAACCACTGGACCATGGTTGGGTTACGATGTGTCAATGTTTGGGGACAGTGATTAGTTCCATCCTGGCCTCTTAGATTCTAGGGATTGTTTCCGTCGAGGCAGAGGACGGAGGCAGAGGGTATTTCAAAGGCTCCCCGACCCCCGATCCCTCCCTGCTCTCTCTCTAGGTGCCCTGTGCTTTCGTTCCAAAGACGTCTTGGGTGGAGATGTTTCCAGCCCAGTGGGCTGGGGCAGGTTCATTTTAACATCTCTGGTTGGGGAATCCCGATGGTGAAGATCCACAGACGGAGGGTATGGAAAATATATCAAATTGTACCAAAAAAGGGGCAAGAGTCTGTTGCTTTCTAGGAAGGGTTACAACCTACAGCCAGATGTGACTTCTACATAATTAAACTGGACACTGTACATTACGTCATCTTCCACTAAAATAATGTTCCTGGTGGTGACAGAGAGACCCTGAACAGCTGATCACATTTGGACTAATAACCCTATAATTTTCAGGCCTCCAAGTGCAACAAGACACAAGGCCACGGCCTTAAAATTTTAGGCTTAAGGATCATTTCCCGCTGCTGGGGGGCGGGGGGCTGGGGGTGGGGGGCGTTTTCTCTCGCCGGTGAGTTTCATACTGCGCTCTGTAGGATGGGGTGCACAAACTGGGGGTTGACATACGAGAATCCTTCAAAGTCAGACTGGTCTATGTTAGCGATGACCAGCTGATCCGGCGGCGTTAAGACGGGCTGTCCTCGCGTGAAGAACTTGTCGAAGTTTTCCGCTCCTTTACCACACTGTGGAGAAAAAAGACAAGGAGGGAAGGGTCAGTAAATGTCACGGAGCACAGGGCGCAGCTCTCCAGGAGCCCCCTTTGGGGGAGGAGTGCGGCGGGGCGGGAATCAGGGATGGTTAGGCGGGAAGATCTCAGAGGACCTGCAGGCCTACTGGATTCAGCAGCCAGGCACAGCAAACAAAAACTGGTGAGTCACTCATCGTACATCTTCAAATAGCCCCGGAATGGCGGCGATAAGGTAGCAACAGGGAGACAGCCTCTTTCATTTCACTTCACTTCGCCGAGCAAGCAGAGCTGAGAGCACAAACGCCGCGCACTGGGCTGCCAGTCCCGGCTCCACCGTGACAAGGCCGGATGGCGGCCGGGACTGCAGGCAGCTACCCCTGCGCGGAGAGGGTGAGATCATTGCCCACGTCTGGTTCTTTGCAACAATATTTGTAATCAAGTAAAAGCTGGGTTATCTTTGCCTTCCAACTGGTGAGTGTTAAAAACCCCAGCACCTAAATTAAGCTTCAAGCCACATGGGGCAGGTGTGGCGGCAAGGTCGGGAAAGTTCGTGTCTGGGGCCCAGCTGGAATTCTGCACACCTAGCTAGAGCTCGCCGACTGGCAGACAGGCTGACGTGGCGTGTATTCACAGGGTGGTCTCAGGCTGGAGGAGCTCTGCACTGCTGCTCTGTGCGGATGGCGGCTGCAGAGCTGCCCGGTTAGGGCCCCTGGGAAACGCGGCAGCTTAAGCAGCGCAGCTTAGAGCCTGATCCGAATGGGGGAAGGGGTGTCCTCCCCACTTTTCCAGCCACCCAGGAAGCTTCATGTTGAAGTCCCAGGATCTCAGGGTGACTCTGAAATAGGGCGAGCTGGGCGTTTCATGGGGACGTGAAGAATGATTGTCAACATCGTCGCTCTTTCCCACGCTGGTGGTGCCACAGGGGCAGCATGAATTAATTCCAAGTTAGCAGAAGTTTTAAACTAACCAGGCATCCTTGCATCTTTCACAGAGAACAGCTCTAGGTAAACCGTGAAGTGGGGTCCACCCAATTTCCTCCTCTGTAAAGTGGGGAGAAGCACCGCACCTCCCTCCCAGGGCTGTTACGAAGGTGAGATTAGAGTTTTGCACAGGGCCTGGCACGTGGTGCTGGTGATGGTACAGGCAGTGTAGCCTCATGGCTGTGCTTCTTCACCCCCATTTTTTGTCCTTTCTGTATCTTCTAGAAGCTTTGCCTGAGAATCTAGTTTCATTATACTTTTCCCACCTTCATCAAATAAAACCTGTTCCCGAGTACCCATTGAAGAGGAAAGCATGTCATGAATTCAAAGAAAGGTCTTTGTAACAAACAGCTTTCCTTTCTGGGCTTATTTTCATTCTAAAAAGGAACTTCCCACTCTTCGCCCAAGGAGACTTCTCCCCGCAGTGACTGCTGGGTATGTGGGTGGGGGACGTGCATGTAGGAGGGGGGACGAGAAGCCCTTCAAGTCGCTCTGCGGAGCCGTCCAGATGTGAGGCCTCAACCTCACGCAGGCCCTGCCGCCCGCACAAGGGACAGCAAAGCTTCCACTCTCATACCCCACGTTCCCATGCTTCAAAGCAGAGCCTGCTGTTCACACCCCCCCACGTGCACAGGCCATTCCCAAATGATGACAAAGGCTCTTCGAAAAATAAGTAAGGGCACGTTGTTTCTTCCCAGGGATTAATCATGTGTGCGTACTTGATTCATCAGTTAAGCAAGCAAACAAACTTCCTTCCACTGGGGTACCACATTCAGATATCACTATGATGGTAACAACTAAAGAAATAGCCTTCCTTTGGATTTACCAGCTGTCCTCGACCGGGGGTGTCTTTGCCCCCTAGGGAACCCAGTTTTGGTTGTCATGACCTAGGCAGGGCAAGGCGGGTAGAGGCCAGGGATGCTGCGGAACATCCTACGAGGCACAGGACAGCCCCTCCTCCCTCGTACGCACATACGACAAAGGATTATTGGCTCCAATTGTCAGTCGTGCTGCTGCTGAGAAACCCTGGGTATATATACCAAGACTATATGAGGGGCTGAGCAGGTCCCAAGGTCAGTGGGAGGGCAAACGTGGGGGCCAAACAAGGAAATTAGGCAGGAGCAGCTGTTCACAAGGGCAGAGAATGGAGACGCTGCAGAAACCCAAGGAGAAAACATCACGAGTGCATTACAGGTAGGTGGAGCTGGCTTCGGGGAAAATGCCCGTTTGGAACCTGATTAATCCATATCCTTTGCCTGGAAATCCAAGTGAACCTACAGTCAGGGCTCCCAGAGGCTGGGACGCATGCTCCCTTAACAAGAGATCACTTGTACTTCTCTTGATACTCTGTGCAAAGATGAGAAAGAAGGAACTTCTGGAAAAAACACAATAAAAAGATATGAGTCCCTGCAAGGCAGAGCAAAGCCAGCCAAAGGCTCTCCCCTGGCGGGACGTCTCCTGTCCAGCTGGAGATTTATCAGTGCCTTCCAGGAAGGGAGTACACAGGTCTCACCCTCTCCTTTTAGTACTGTCTTTTATGATAGTCACAAATCACCTTCCTAAGGAAGTTTCCAAAAGCCAGGGCTTTACTGCCAAACAAAAATAAAAAGCAAACTAAAAGTTCCCAAGATCTAAAAGATCTAAAAGCTCCCAAGATCTATGCAGAAACATACGCCTGAGAAGCCCAGGGAGGGAGGCTCGAGGACATCAAACGCTAAGGCTGGGGTCCAGGGAAGGGCCACTCCCAAGAGTTTCCACTTCTTATAAAGTCAAGTGCTGCGACAAATGGACAAAAACACCTCGCTGGGTAAGGCCTCATGCTACGACTGTGTGGTGACCGCAGGGCTGAGGCAGAAGGTGCAGAGCCTGGGTCGACCCAGCGGCTGCTCGGCAATCGCACTGGGCAATGGTGACATGTGCCTGTCACCGCTGGAAACACCTGCTTGCTCCCTCCTCCCGATCTCTTTGGAATCCTCCCTGATCTCGGAGAGAGAAATCACATTGCAGCGAATGAAAGCTTTCCTTAGACTGATTCTCTTGGTGGAGAGGCCAGGTGGGCCGGGCTGAGGGCAGGGCATGAAACCCGCACCACTGAGGTCCACACCCGCCAGCCATGGGACAACAGGAGCCCTGAGTGCACCTGAGCAAGCGACGGGGGGAGAGCCCAGAAGGGGCCGGGCGAGAGCCAAGGCTCAGGAGGACTTTCCACTGTGGGGGACGTCGAACGGGCAAGGAGTCTGCTTCCCTCACCGAGGGGCGGCAGCACAGCACTGAGCGATGTCGCTTACTTTCCCACCGTGGAGGGTCTCTCGGTGCTTTAAAAACGAGCCCTCCATAGCTCGTAGCAGAATTAGGCCCAGACACAGACAGTTTCCTCTAAGTCAAATGGGAGAGGGTCTTGAACTACGTGTTTTCAAGATGTTTATGTGGAGAGCTGCGACTGTCTTCATCACCATGACCACCACACTCCTCCTCCTGAAAAGGGTAACAAAAATCAGAGCACTCTGGACCCTCGCGGAAAAGACAGATAACAGATTCAAGAAGTTACTGTATCCCTAACGTAGAAGAGATTCTTCCTATCACCTGGGATCTGGCCTCACTCATAACCATGGACTTGGCGGGCAGCGGACTTGGGTGCCAGCTCAGATCCCAGCAGGGACGAGAGGCGGCACAGGGACTGGAGGGTTAAGGGGCACCCGGTGCCTGGGAACGTGTGAACGAGCAGGTGACTGGGCTAAAAGTGAAGCTGGCCTGACTGCAGACGTCCTCCCAGTGTTCCGCAGGGAGGAGGCAGGAAGCCTGTCACAATGGCCACTGGCAGGGCAGCCTCTGCAGCAGTCTGTCACAGCAGGCAGGTTGGGCTGTCCATGGCTACAGAGCTCTGGGCCACTCGACAACACACAGGAGCTAAAAGCGATGTCTACACCTTGTGAGCAAAACTCCAGGCTGGGTGCGACCACCTTCACCTCCAAAGGCCACCCACACCTTTGGTCAACTGAGGCTTCTGCCCTCTGGGACATGACGTACCACACAACCAGCGCGGGGCACAGACAGAGGGGCAGAGGGCGGCAGGAGAGAGTTCTCAGGGAGAGTCCAGTTCCTCTGGCTCTCCGTGAGACCAGATGACGCCTTCTGCTCACTGGGCAGCGTGGCCACCCGCAGCAAAGGGGGGCACGGCGGCGTGAAGGACCAGAGATCAAACGGCCCAAGTAATGCACCGGGCAACCCGCTGCAGCTCGCTGCGAAGGCGAGACGGGGATGTGACCATCACCTTCTGAGGCTGTCGCAGGAGGAAGGGAACTAGAATTCCTAAGTGAGGCGGCAGGACACAGACGTGAGGTACAACCGTGTAGCAAGTGCTGGCACGTGAGAGGCACACGATCGATGTTTGAGGGATGAATGAACGATCAGCAATCCACGTCCCCTTTCTTATCTCTGGATTCAGGATCGACTCCCTTGTCATTTCTGACATCCTAATCCACTTGGTCAAATTACCAATGGATAAAACAAACCCAGGAGAAATCAGGCATGGTAAAGACGTTACAAAGCACAGAGTGATGGGCTCCGCGGGGAGGACCTGGCACTGTGATGCGTCCCCATCAAGCTCTGCGTGGCACACGGTCCCCTCACGGCCCCCGCCTCCTGGCCAGGCTGTGGGGAGACTGGGCTTTGCACTGCGATCCTTACCTGAGAGGCCACGGAGCGTGAGCAATGCAGGTGCTGGGCTCCACCGTGCCCCGTACCTCGGGTCTCAGTCACGTAGAACGCGACCCCACGGTCACGGCTACTGGAATTATGAGTGCGGGAATATGAGTAGCTCAAAAACAGTGCCATTAAAAAGCAAAACCAAACAAAACCCAGAAGAGGAGGAAGAATGCAGAGCAAATGAGTAAAGGCATGTTGCAAGACTGCGGAGAAAGGACACAGACAGGTGGGCGGCTCTCTTACGATCACCAAATGCAGCAGGACGGGCTTCGTGTCAGGGGAGCCCTTCCTTGTATCTCACATCCCAGCG